TAAATAAACCAGGGAGATATAAGGCATTAAAAATTGCAATTGATTAAGAATGAATGAAATGACTGTTTAGAAATTCAGTTTTTTGCTTGTAAGATTTCAGCTACTTTTCACAATAATCTGTTGCTTATCATTTATTATTAAAATAGAGTTTATGTATACATCACGTTGGTCAATACTTTCAAAGCATAGCAGGCGTGATGGAAAGAAAAATTATTTATGAAATGAGAATTAATCATATGTAATTCAAACACTCGGTGCGTTTTTTATATATTTTATTGAAATATATTATTTTTAATGAAATAAAATCGATCCAGTTTACTAGATTAATTTTATTAACGAAAATATAAATGCAATGGGCTATAAAAAATATATTAAAGCGAGGGTAACTATGTTGCCTTGTACCTTTTGAAAAGAATGCTTTCATTTTACCATAAAAAAAATGATGACTGAGTGTTTTATTATTAGGATTTATTTGACAGTTTTATTTGAAAATCAAATTAATTTTATCTAACACAATGTAATAATAAGATTTTTCAATTAGATTTTAAAAAAAATGAAAATATTTTTAATTTTAATCAGAAAAACGATACACATAAGACGCGTCGCCTTCGTAATTTAGTTCCATCACCACTGTAAGTGGTGATGGTTTGATTTGATTTGTTTATTAACGTCGCACTAGAGCTTCACAATGGGCTATTGGCGACGGTCTGGGAAACATGCCTGAGGATGATCCGAAGACATGCCATCGCAGTTTTGATCCTCTGCAGAGGGGATGGCACCCCCGCTTCGGTAGCCCGACGACCTGCACGCGAAATCGAGCACTTTACGGTAGAACAGTTTAGCGAGGACCAATACCGCACACCCTCGGTCCCTACGCAGACTGATCCAAGTGGTCACCCACCCGCACACTGACCTCAGTCAGTGATGCTTGACTTCGGTGATCTGCTGGAGACCAGTCCACTGCGGGACAAGTGGTGATGGAAATATATTACAAAGGAAAGTATCTATTAAAGGATTAAAGCGCAAAGTAATGTGCTTTAAGATTTTCGTTTAATGTCTTACATTAATTTAACAATTTTCCTTCGCTATTTTTGTTGAAAAATGTGTTTAAAATAGTTTTATCATTTCAATATACTTTAAAGAATCTTTACTTCCAGTTCAAACAAATACAATTTTAAAAAATAAGCTTCACTACAAAATAAAGAAAATTGTGATTTCCGCAAGGCAATCACAGGTTACTCATTGCAATATGGTTGTTGTCTAATTTTTCTTTTTCTTTTTTTGGAAAAGCAACTTTATTATGTTTTCATCTTGGAACATCTTTAACTGTTAATCCTGAACTGCTCGGTAAGCAATTTCAAAGACATATTTGAAAGCAGCTTAGACACATTCTGTATAAATTCTTTTGAGACATTGAACAGCCAATCGAGGTTAAAATTAACATTTTCGGATTGGTACAATGGTGTTTAAAGGAGATTGTAAGTTGCATGTTACACCCGTTTCGGATTCACAAGTTCATACATAAAATATGATTTGAACGCTACACTTTTTTTCAGTTCTATATGAATAGTGAATGAATCATTTATATTGCTTGGGAGACAGTGTAAGGTCTTGTGAGGTCCTTGAATACTTTGACAATGAACAGTACTTTGACCGTCAAATATCATTAAGATGTTTTATATGGGCGTAGACCGAATTTCCATCTCTTTTTGTGCTAAACCCCATCAAAACCTTCCTGAAATTATTTTGTCTCATATCAATATCTAGAATTTTTGATACTAAATACATCTGTATGAGACGCTTTAAGAAGAAATCGCGAGTGAAGAAATCGAATTCAACAAAGTTTTCAAAAGATAAAATTATGAGTTGAATTTTAAGAACAAATTAATTTTAATGAACGATTTTTCGATTGTATTTTGATTAGATATAGTAATTGACATAATTTATTTGATTTGGTGACATTATTTTGACTATATGTACTGAATGTTTTTAACTCAAAGATGCTTTCGCATCGCTTAATTCAAATATGCAATCGATTTCTCACTACAAACTGTAGTTTTTATGCGATCCAAAATAACGCTTATTCGAAAAAAGAACATACATCGGGATCTCAATAATGATTTTTTAGACCCTCATATTGCATAGCTTAATTGCAAATTAATTGTCCGTAAAAGACATAAATTGTGATACCGTAGGATTTAATAAAATTTTTACAAAAAGCTTAAAAGCAGACATAAACCTCAAAAACAAATTAATTTTTTTTAAAAAAAAGAAAACAGTTTTGGGTTTGTTCTTAAAAAAATTTAATCGATAAAATTTTAATTTTGAATTGTCGTCGAAGATTAAAAAATAGTTTGGGTCCATCATGAACATTAAGTAAACTTAATGCAATCAAAAATGACTTTTTAATATATTTCTCTATAGTTCAATATAAGTACAATTTTACAAGCTAAAGTAAAAATTAATCATTGAAATTAATCATTTTCAGAAATGAGCTTTCTTGTACCACATGATGAGATGCTCTTTATCCTGCATAACAAGTTGATCTGGACCTACAAAAAAAAAATAATAAAATAAAATAAATAATACTTTTCTAGAAGTTAATAAAATATTGATTATTTTTTAAACCTAACACAATGGTGATAAATTAAATCCATAATCATCCAGACAGATTAAGTAAACACAGGGTTCTATCAGTCCTTATACATATATAGGAATAGTAACAAAATGAAGAAAATAAGGTTTATTTTAATAATTTCGTATTCACCACTACAATTAATATTTCCGACGAAACAAATGTAGTCACGAATATTAATTAAAGGCTATATTTTAATAATAGTTATATACTAATTGACATCCCGTTCTTTGGATGGGATGACAAGCTGAACTTAATCTGCAAAAAACATCCGGTCTGGTCACCTGAGGCCCATTTCACATTGATCTCGGTCGAGTTTCGATGATGTTGTGGAATGCAAATTAAGAATTTCAATAAACGCAGTTCTTATACGAATGCTTATCGTTCTTTTATAAGAAAAAAGTGGTAAAATTAATGCTTCAATATTAAAATTTATTTTAAGAAAAACAGATAATTCTATTCCCCACTACTTATTAACTACAATAATATTTTGATTTGGATTTTATGTTAAGACTTTGTTCATTTTTAAATGTAAAGTGATAGTTAACAGAAAGATGCTCTGCCACTTATTTTAAATATATGTTTTTCATTTCAAGACCACTTTTCGTTGCTAGGCATTTGTGGGTTAATGATGCTAGAATAATTTTTTTCTTGTTTAACACGTTCACGCCGGGGTGACCCACCGGTGGGTCACGCTAGATTGTCTCATCGGGCGGCGCACCGGAGTAAAAACTGGTAACAAATAAATTTCATTTTTTAGTTTTTTCCCGGGAATAATAAAAATCCATAACTACCAATTGTTTTTAACGGATGCAATTTTTATATTGAATTGCTTCTTCGCCGTGATAAATTTCCTTACAGTGAATTGTTATTGTTGAGAATAAATTAACTCCTCCCTAATATTATCTAATATTGAAATAGTTCTTCTATCAGTATTTTCTCTTTTCCCGTACCAGTATTTTCACTTTTCCCGGCGTGAACGTGTTAANTCATCTAGGACATCTTTAACTGTTAATCCTGAACTTCTCGGTAAACAATTTCGAAGACATATTTGAAAGCAGTCCAGACACATTCTGTATAAATTCTTTTGAGACATTGAACAGCCAATCGAGGTCAAAATTAACATTTTCGGATTGGTACAATGTTTAAAGGAGATTGTAAGCAGCATCTTACACCCGTTTCGGATTCACGTTCATACATGAAATATGATTTCAAAAATACACTTTTTTTCAATTTTATATGAATAGTGAATGAATCATTTATATTGCTTGGAAGAGAGTGTAAGGTCTTGTGAGGTCCTTGAATACTTTGACAATGAACAGTACTTTGACCGTCAAATATCATTAAGATGTTTTATAATATTGTAGATCGAATTTCCATCTCTTTTTGTGCTAAACCCCATCAAAACCTTCCTGAAATTATTTTGCCTCATATCTATATCTAGAATTTTTGATACTAAATATAACTGTATGAGACGCTTTAACCCGTTTTGTCCCGAATTTATAAATTGAAATGATACAAAAAGTGGTTTTATGGAAAAAGTGCTATAATATATTATCGAAATTAATTGGTTTTTCTACTGTTAAGGCATTCAAAAAGTCATTGATAGATCAAAAAGTACTTGTTCCTTAGAATTCTAGATCTGATCAGAAATAACTAAATCATTGTGGTATCTGAGAATCCTTTAATTCACCCAGATAAATGAAAATACTGAAAAAAGTTTCCCACCACAATGAATGTCTTTGAAAAAAGGAACTGTCCTAAATATATGACGCTGGGCGTTAGCCGGTTAAGAAGAAATCGCGAGTGAAGAAATCGAATTCAACAAAGTTTTCAAAAGGTAAAATTATGAGTTGAATTTTAAGAACAAATTAATTTTAATGAAAGATTTTTCGATTGTATTTTGATTAGATATAGTAATTGACATAATTTATTTGATCTGGTGTCATTATTTTGACTATATGTACTGAATGTTTTTAACTCAAAGATGCTTTCGCATCGCTTATTTCAAATATGCAATCGATTTCTCACCCCAAACTGTAGTTTTTATGCGATCCGATGCGATCCAAAATAACGCTTATTCGAAAAAAGAACATACATCGGGATGTCAATAATGATTTTTTAGACCCTCATACTGCATAGCTTAATTGCAAATTCTTTGTAATACACATAAATTGTGATACCGCAGGATTTAAAATTTTTACAAAATGCTTAAAAGAAGACATAAACCTCAAAAACAAATGTATTTTCTTAAAAAAAGATTTGGTTTTATTCCTCAAAAAGTAATCGGTGAAATTTTAATTTTAAATTGTCGTCGAAGATTAAAAAATAGTTTGGGTCCATCATGAACATTAACTAAACTTAATGCAACCAAAAACGACTTTTTAATATATTTTTCTACAGTTCAATATAAGTACAATTTTACAAGCTAAAGTAAAAATTAATCATTGAGATTTTCTTCTTTCAGAAATGAGCTTTCTTGTACCACATGACGAGATGCTCTTTATCCTGCATAACAAGTTGATCTGGACCTACAAAAATAAAATAATAAAATAAAATAAATAATACTTTTCTAGAAGTTTATAAAATATTGATTATTTTTTAAACCTAACACAATGGTGATAAATTAAATCCATAATCTTCCAGACAGATTAAGGAAACACAGGGTTCTATTAATCCTTATACATATACAGAGATGCCAACTTGCTCCGGACAACAAATATATATTTCAAAGTGGTAGTTCATCAATTGTGATTCTTGGTTTAATAAATTCAATTTAGTAGCTTTTTATCCTCCATTATTTCTGAACAATTCGTAGACTTATATAATTCACCATTTATAGCACTTGCGTCATGCTATACCTTTTAAAAAGCAGGAAAAATAGTCAAATATTTGCAAAATTTCCTTTGTAGTTATTTACCGCTTTTTTAATTATTCTGGCGTGTCCGGAGCAGTTGGCATCTCTGCATATATAGGTATAGTAACAAAATGAAGAAAATAAGGTATACGTTAATAATTTCGTATTCACCATTACAATTAATATTTCCAACTAAACAAATATAGTCACGAATACAGATTTAAGGTTACATTTTAATAATAGTCCTACACTAATTGACATCCCGTTCTTTGATTGGGATGACTAGCTGAACTTAATCTGTAAAAAACATCCGGTCCGGGCACCTGAGGCCCATTTCACATTGATCTTGGTGGAGTTTCGATGATGTTGTGGAATGCAAATTAAGAGTTTCATTGAACGCAGTTCTTATATCCTTAGCGTTCTTTTATAAGAAAAAAGTAATAAAATTAATGTTTCAATATTAAGATTTATTTAAAAGAAACAGATTCTGTTCACCACTACTTATTAACTACAATAATATTTACATTTGGATTTTTATGTTAAGACTTCGTTCAGTTTTAAATGTAAAGTGATAGTTAACAGAAAGATGCTCTGCCACTCATTTTAAATATATGTTTTTCATTTCAAGACCACTTTTCGTTGCTTGGCATTAGTGGGTTAATGATGCTAGAATAATTTTTTTCTTGTTTAACACGTTCACGCCGGGGTGACCCACCGGTGGGTCACGCTAGATTGTCTCATCGGGCGGCGCACCGGAGTAAAAACTGGTAACAAATAAATTTCCTTTTTTAGTTTTTTCCGGGAATAATAAAAATCCATAACCACAAATTGTTTTTAACGGATGCAATTTTTATATTGAATTGTTTCTTCGCCGTGATAAATTTCCTTACAGTGAATTGTTATTGTTGATAATAAATTAACTCCTCTCTAATATTATCTAATATTGAAATAGTTCTTCTATCAGTATTTTCTCTTTTCCCGTACCAGTATTTTCACTTTTCCCGGCGTGAACGTGTTAATACCATATTTTCTCCTTCCCGGTGGCTTCATCTCAGTAGATTAAGCAGAGCACGTTTTTGGTTGATTATCCCAAGAACGATCTAATGAACGTTTTCTAGGAGAGGGTCTTAAATACCCCCTTCCCCCTGTCCAAATTTCAGAATGCTACCTCAAACAGTTCACTAAAATTGGCGCGTATTATGCTGCCCTGCCATTAGCAAATCAAATGCAAATTAAAGAATTTTTCCTGGTGTTTCGCTGAAGAAATAAATCGTTTGCAAGGAGCAATATTTATTATTCTTTCACCAGTCCCTTTAATTGTGAACAGAAAGACGTTATATTTGTTACGATTTTTAGATATTTTTGTTAATTTTTATTACCCTTTAATTGATTATGAACCCTTTGCACTCGAGAGGTGATTGTCAGTAACCACTGTCGCTTGTAAATTACCCATCACTCTAATTGTGAAATTTTTTTCATCTTAATGTTTAGTCACCACTTCATTCCGTGATCTCTGGATATTATGAGGCAAATTTGTGAAAAATCTTTCAAAATGTTAGTGGTTGCCTTCATTTTTTTAACTGTTGAAAGAACTTCGAGGGCAAAGGGTTAAATTTTGTTTTCCTTATTTCACATGATTTAAGAAAGCTAGCAATAAGAAGTCTGTGCAACGTTGTTTTAAAAGTTTTCGATGTTGATACACGTTTACGTGAACCGTGGTTTCTCAGGGTATAGAATGTTCGCCTTCTAATAAGGTGAATCGATACGAATTCCGCACCTGGCTCCCACCGACTACAGTGCTGACGTAAAATCACCGTAAAAAAACCGACTACAGTGCTGACGTAGACGGATCATGGGTAAGAGTCCCCTTGCCGTCAGGCTAACCTTAGAAGGTTTTCCGCACCATGTAATGCAAATGCCGGTTAATTCCATCAAAAAATTCACGACGAAGGCGAATTTCTTCCAATACTTGATCCAGGAATTCTCTTGTCTTCTATATTGGGTTCAAAATTACATAGCTACGGAATTGAACAGTAGTTGTAAACCCAGAAATTAGGATCGACGGTTATAAAAAATATTTAAAATAAAATAGTTCAAAAAAGCTGTTAAATATTTCCGAATAGTAGCCTTCTAATAAATGACTCTTACATACCTGCCAACGGAAAGAGGCTTTACAAAGTAGTAGTAAAACTACAATTAAAGTTGGAAATATTTTCTAGAAATCAAATACGTAAACAATTAAAGAGTTAAATTAGTAATTAAATAGATCACATCTACATATTTTTTAATTATTGGTATGCCGTGGTAGGTGGACAATTTTTTTGAAACATTGAATAGAAGATTTATTGTGACAAAACGCTATAATGTTGCTAAAAGTAAGAAAATTTTTTCTCAACAAGTCAGCAGCTAAGCTCTTGAAAAATTCGAGTTATGCTGTTTTTACTCACCACTACTTCGAAACAATTTGAAGGATTATAAGTCCCCCTTTTTTGTAACTTGGTCAAACCTGCCCACTTTTATTCCTTTCCATTATCATTTTTCCCAGTGGTATTAAAATGGAACTAAAACTTCAATTTTAAGCAAACAAATACGTTGTATTTGAGAAACCTTAAGTTGACAACCATGATAGTAACGCTTATTATTATATGAGCTTAATTTTTGTAAAAATAGTGGTGATCAAAATAATTTAAAAATTAAGTTTATAAAAGAAGAAAAATCTATATTTACTACCACTTTAAATATAAAAATAAAATCTTCCGGAAGAGTTGGCAGGTATGATTTGTTGACCTTACTTAAAAGTTGGCAAAACTTATTGCGAAAATAAAAATCTGCGAGTTTTAGCTTGTAATTCTCCATCGCTTTTAAAAATAATTTATGTAATTCGGAGTAATAGGCAACTCCGAAGTAGTAAATTGTAATTAATGAACGACTTACTCAAATTGTAGTGGTTAAGAGTAGCATTAGTAATTTCTTGGCCAAGATAAAGCATCCAGAAATAGCCTAATTCAGGATCATTAATCGTTTTATCAATTTGATACACATACATCACACCAGAAATCTTTTTGTATGCAAAACTGCAAAGAAATTAATACAAAAATTAATATTCAACTGAAATACCTTGCAATAACTTATACATGTTTGTTAACCTTTTCGAAGGCCGTGGGAAGTATACTTCCCACCACTTTTAATTTAGGTTTCCATTTGGTAATAACTTCAGCTTTCTTGAAGTGCGTTTGAATAAAATTGGCGACCCTTTGTTAGTTTAAAAAACGTATAAAAGTTATAAAATACATAATTCCTTTAGAAGTTTGTAGCATTTATAAAATTTATTTTATAAATAAAGAAGAATAAAAGTCAGTAAATTCCTAATAGGTCGTGTTGAATATATTTGCCACCAAAAATATCGCATTTTTATAAACTAAATGGGGTTTTTCATTTTTATATCAATTACTATTCTTAAAACAATTTCAATTCCAAAAATACTTTAATTTACCTTTACTAGAAATAAATAGCCCATTAAAGGGTTAAAGCATAGATACTGGCTAAGATGAAAAAATAATTATGTTAAAAGATACACATTAATAAGCATGAAACGGTTTTAAGTGGTGACGAAATTGGACAAATTAAAAAAAAAAAATATTACCACTGGAAAAAATCTTTTAAAAATTTGGATTTAATATATTTTTAGAATCTTATTTTCGGATGACTTCTGTGACTTTTCAAGATTTCCTCCATTCACGAAAAGTTAAAAAAAGTATATTTTTAAGCACTGAGGATCACAAAATGCATGTGTTAAAGTGTTACTAAATAGTGGTAGTTATGAGTAATTTATTTCTCCAAACTAAAGATAAAAATGATATGTTCTTACGACTAGTACTTAGTCTTTACCGAAAATTTGCAGCCTTGGTCTGTAAAATCTGCTCTGCAATCTCGCCCGCCTGTATTTTATCCAAATATATACACGTACTGTCAAATACAAAAACAACAACAACAAAAAATGTATGGCCCGAAGGCCATACATTGCCGGCCACTACTTCAGTGACAAGTAATTTCAAATAATGGAATTTTTACAATCTCTTTTTCATAATTCAAATTGTAGAAAAGGAGTCCTTGTGGAATGAAAATTTCGAAATCAATAATAGCCTATCGAAGAAAAACGTACACCCTTCAACTGCAACGAATTTTCCATAAAAACTGTAGAAAGTTATTTCGCAATAATTTATAATTTTTATAAATTCAACAACAAAGAATTTTGACCACCACTACGTATAAATGTATAAACATAATATTTAAGATATCCGAAAAACACTTCTTTATAATCCTCAACCGATAACTCAGATTAGAACTAAAAAAACTCCTGTATTCTTCTATGATACGTCCTATCATGACGTACGCCTCACCTGCCTGGTGTAACGCCTCCGCGAAAGACCTCAAAAAACTTATCGTAAAACAACATCTTGAGAAAGCTCACGGGAGCCAGATGGTTTATCCGCAAAAACGCCATTTATAGAGATCTTAACATTGATCGCTTTGATCATCGTTTCAACAAATTAAACAGAAACTTCCTTATTAAAGCCGCCACCTGCGATACCGCAAATTTTAATGATATTTTCGACTGCATAAATCTCAATCTGCTTAGACCCATAGCACACTTCGAATATCACACTAACACTTAACAACACAAACACTGACTGAGTTACTCACATTCAGATTCAGCTTATCCCTGTCAAAAAGCAACCCCTAGGGGTCTGATCAAGGGTAAGCTAATCACTGTAACTTTAGTGTAGAGAGCAAGCAACCCGGCACGAGTGCTAATTACCAGGACGACCGGGTCTCTACTTTAACAGAGCCACACTTACTATACACACATCCTCACATTCCTTTAACACGTTCACGCTAGATTGTCTCATCTTGGCAGCGCACCGGAGTAAAAATTGGTAACAATAAATTTCATTTTTTAGTTTTTTTCATGGAATAATAAAAATCCATAACTACCAATTGTTTTTAACGGATGCAATTTTTATATCGCTTCTTCGCCGCGATAAGTTTCCTTTACCAGAAAGAACCACCCTAAAGATCACAATTCAAGACGAATGGGAAAAAGGCCGCTAACGGCCCCAGTCGCCCAGATAAATATTGATGATGATAAGTTTCCTTACACTGAATTGTTATTGTTGAGAATGGATTAACTCCTCCCGAATATTATCTAATATTGAAATAGTTCTTCTACCAGTATTTTCACTTTTCCCGTACCAGTATTTTCACTTTTCCCGGCGTGAACGTGTTAACTCGCCCCGCTCCCTTTGTATGTGTTCCCAAACTGTAAATATTCATTAGTGCATACTTTCCCATTGTACTTTAATTTTACCTTTTTCATGTACTTTTTTATTACTTGTAATTTTGTTATTACCTAATAATGGCAAAGTGCAATTTTTTCTCTCACGAACTCCATTTTGCTCCCCAAACTTTTTTTTGTCATGTATGTTTCTTAATCTAATTTCAGGATGAATGAGAAAAGGGCCGTAATGGCCTCAGAGTCCCAGTTCCACTACAACGAAGGAACGAACTTCTTTATAATCCTTATCCAGAGATGCCAACTTGCTCCGGACAGCAAATATATATTTTAAAGTGGTAGTTTATCAATTGTGATTTTTGTTTAATAAATTCAATTTAATAGATTTTTATCCACCACTATTTCTAAATAATTCGTAGACTTATATAATTCACCACTTGATAGTTCTTATGTAATGCCCAAGCTGCCCTGAGAGTTATTGCCCAATCAGTCTACTTAACATACTTGGAAAAATATACGAAAAAATCATCTACAATAGAATAAAACCACTTCTTACAGCCCTCCCCGACGAACAGTATGGATTCCGACAAAAACTAGATACCACCAGTTACTCCGAATAATAGACTATACTGGCAGAGCAATCATAAATAAAGAAACAATAGCCTTCCTGATGATCGACATATCCAAAGCATTTGATAAAGTATGGCACACTGGTACAATATATAAACTCATACAGCTGAATTTTCCACCCGGCATAATCAAACTCCTATCCTGCTATCTTTCTAATAGAACATTTCAAATCACCATCAAAAACAAAAAATCCACAAAGAGAAACATCACAGCCGGAGTACCACAGGGCAGCATTCTGGGACCGATATTATACATATTATACACTTATGATTTTCCTATAAACAAAGCCGATTATAACAGCATAACAGCCTATTACGCAGACGATACCGGTATTATTATTAAATCCAGAAACCCAAATCATGCTCTTCAAAAACTACAAGACCATATAGACGAAATAGAAGACTGGTGCTTAAAATGGAAAACTGCAGTAAATGCTGGAAAATCACAAATATTAATTATACAAAAAAGAAGAATTAAAATACTTCCACAACTTCAACCAAAAATGTTCAACATACCAATACCAATAGTTAAAAAAGCAAATTATCTTGGCCTTATAATCAATAGCAAACTCACCTGGAATGATCACATCAAAAGCACAATAGATAAAGCAAATGCAGCAATAATAGCCATACAACCATTAATATATAATCAGAATATGTCACTTAAACTAAAGAAGCTACTATATACAGCAATGATCCGCCCAATACTTACCTATGCCTCACCTGCCTGGACAACGATACCTCAACATCTACTGAAGAAATTAAACCAATGCCAAAACAAGATCCTTAGAAAAATAACCTGTGCAAGATGGTTCATCCGGAATACCAATATACATGCAGACCTCAAAATACCAACTCTATCACAGCATATATACAAGCTAAACGCAGATTTTTTCGATAAAGCCATAGAATGTAAAACAGCAAATTTTAATGAAATCTTTAAATTTGAAAATTATATCAAAGATAAAAACTACAGACCAATAGCTGCACATTTCACCTCCGACGCCTCATATCATAACTATCAAAACAAATAATTTCATCAACCTTTCTGAAAATAACGTTTACTCATGCTGATACAATTCTGAACAACTCCAAAATCAAACAAACACAGTTTAGAGCAAGCTGCTCAATTTATTTTTGATTCCTTTTTAGTTATTCAAGCAAAGAGCTTGAAACATTCATAAAAGCAACTCCATTGCCTGCTTACCTCATTGCTCAACCAAAACTGTTCTAAAATTCCAGATGAATGGGATAGGGGCCGCTTCACGGCCCAGGTGCCCAATAAAATCAAAACACTAGGACTAGTTCTTATGTAATGCTGTGCCTTTCCACTTTATGATACTTATGCCATGCTATACCTTTTAAACGCACGCAAAAATAGTCAAATATTTGAAAAATTTGCTTTGCAGTTTTTCACCGTTTTTTTTAATTAATCTGGCGTGACCGGAGCAGTTGGTATCTCTGCTTATCCAACTAACACTTGAATGGTAGTAAAGAGTACTTTTTTGAAAGAAGTGGTAATCAATTAGTGTCATAGCTAAATTTATATTTTCTATTGTGATTACTCTGGCTTCAAACGACAAAATAAATAACTGGTAGCTAGGATTTATCATGACTACTGAAAAATGCTTATACTTATCATTCATTTGTGAATTACGAAATTATAATACACGAGTTATTTTTTTTACCATAAATATTTCTTTTAAATTAAATATTTATTGATAGCTTAGAACATCTAGTAATATCTCACTTTTGCTACCACATTAAAATAAAATTTCAGACTGTGGGTACTTTGGTGGTAGGAATTAGAAATGCATAATTTCAGATCAAAATATATACATTTAAATTACAATATATATATATTACAGTACAGGGACAAAAATATAAAATCACTAAGAAAAAATCTTCGCAATAAGGGTCAAAAAGTAGCTATACAATTCTTTTCTACCACTAGGAAGTATTAGATGTGGTGAAAAAAAATCAACGATTAAAAAAATAAGAGTATTGAGTACATAGATTGAACCTCAACAAAATAATTATACAAAAATAATTTGACCAGAATTTGATGATTGAAAAGAACTACCATTCCGCCACTACATTCATAAGAATGTATTGGCGGACAAAATCAATGAAAAATGAATTTATTAAATCCATAATTAAGTGTTGAATCATAAATTATCTCACATGCAACAGAAGAGATCATAAAAAAAATACAGCTGCTGTTACAGCGGGATTTGTACCGCCTACTTCCAAAATTTGGATACCTAATTTTGACATATTTTATCATTAGTAGTAATTTTTTATGCTAGGAAACAACAACCTAAAAATCTAATTAAATTTATTTTAATTAACTAAAAAAAATTCTTGGGTGCATAAAAACAGAAATTTTATTTCATAGATATTTAAAAGTAAGGCGTTATAATTAAAATGACACATAAATATTAAGAATTATGACATTAAAAAATTGGATTATTAAATTATGAAATTGGAAAAACTTTCAAACATTTATAAATTTTATTTTGGTAGTTCAGGGTTTTAATTGTCTACTTATTTTTATTTTATTTTATTCACTTTTTTTATCTCAACATTTTTGTCTGCTTTTTTTTTTCTTTTCGAAGTTACGGGACGGCATTGCTTTCTAAGTTCTTAAAGAAAAGAATAAACATAATGCGTTTTTATTCACAGCAGGATAAATTCTTCTAAATAATTTTCTAATTCCTCAGTTGGCATTTTTTGCATTTACTGGGGTAACAAAAAAAAATTAAGTTTTCCCTTTTTGTGTTTTATGAGAATTCTTACAAGTTTCAATCGCACAAGCTGATATTTGACTACAATTGTTAAATTTGTGTAATCAGATAAGATGAAAATAACTTCAAAAAATAGAAGGAAAAAAATTATTATGGAAAAAAAAGTTACAGAAAAGAATGCTACTTATATGCTATTTATATAACTCGGTGACGTCACTGTCTGAAATTTAAAATGCGAAGCGGCAAGAATTTCTTCAAAGGAGTGATTCTTCTGTTTTCTCAGAGCATATGGCCAATAAAAAAAGTGATTAATTAATCCCCGCATAGTTTAGAGATAATAAACATTTAAAAAAACATTAAGATAGAGCAAGTCTCCCCTGAAAGAGATAACAGAATAGGGGCATAACTTCAAATACTTACGTGTATTTTGGATTTTTTGTTTCAGCTAATTTCATCACGTCATAAGCCGTGTAGTTCTCTGGAACTCTGAGGGAAACAGTATTGATCACATCATTTTCGTCTCCCATGTAAAGTGAATACCGAACACGCATTTTTGGACCTGTATAGTCGCTTGTTTCAGAAGCTTGGTTATCTGGAAGATTTAAAATTGGTTAAAATAGAAACATTAATATGACACTGGAATTTTTCATTTCCATTTACGAAATTTATTGAAAGAAAACAATTTAGCGATACAAGGTTAAGAGGTATAGTAGTTGGACAAAAATATGCTAACATTTCTGTACTAACTCTATGTATATAATCCTTCTTTTAACAGCAACTCTTTTGAAAGATTTTACCTAACAAAACTGTAGTCACAAATTCAAAGATGCTTTTACAATATGAATCGACATAAAATAAGAGAGGAGGCATTTTTAATGCTTGAATACCAGCAATTTCAAAATAAATCAATGACATTGGGAATTCAATAAATATTGCTTTTTAATTATAGTGGTAATTACGGGTGGTTACCCAGAGATGCCAACTGNGTAGCAGAAGCTTTGGTTGGCGTTGGTTTATACCCTGAGCCTAGCTATATAACTGTAAGATATTTGATCAATAAATTGAAAACTGATAGTGAGGGGGAGAAGTTAGGTTGAATGCTAGGGGTGGATACCCCCGAGTCGGCGATCACATGAAGGTCCTTTCACCTCTCTGGGGGTATCCATGAGAATAATAAGGGGGGGGGGATTAATTATCTGTAATTCTTTGAGAGGATGCAATCTGATAGTAAGAATGAGGTAATTGGGTTGTGTTGGGTCATATTTGGCAGTAGTTCCTTATTCAAGAGCTCGTTGAAACCAACTGGATCTGGTTCCTTGGCAGTACTGAAGAATGAGATTTATCACTGAATGAAGTGGTAACTAAACATTAAGATGAAAAAAATTTCACAATTAGAGTGGTGGGTAATTTATACGCGACAGTGGTGACTGACACTCACCTCTCGAGTGCAAAGGGTTAAATAAAGCAAACTATTATTACCCCGCCCAAAAATAAACTGCTATAAAAATAGTTTGGCAACCAGTTTTATCTTTTTTTTACCTTAATTATCGACATCCTGATAATGCATATATCATACCTGCCAACTTTTTCCCCACTGGTAGTAAAATTTAGTTTCAATTACAATTTTAGGCAGAAGCATTTGCTGTATTTTGAGTAAGCTTCAGCGGACTGCAAAATCTGTGTTTTACATTTATATATACAATTAATTTTTTAAAAAATAGTGGTGAATCAAAAAGATTATCAATTAAGTTTATAAATGCAAGAAATGTATAGAAAGCATACGTTTTACTACCACTTAAAATGTAGAAATATAATTTTACGCCAAATGCGTAAAAGTTGGCAGGTATGATATATGATTCGCCCACTAGCATAAGTTTATTCTCTTATGACCTAAGAACATAGGACAACACAGATTCGACGAATCAGTTAGTGGAGCTTCCTGCCAAACACTGAGCTATGCAAAATATCCAGCATCCAGTATATGACTCGCCCGTCCCGAAGTGGTTGATAAGACACTGGAATATTTCATTTTACGAAATATATTAAAAGAAAACAATTTAGCGATACAGGGTATAGTAGTTCGACAAAAATATGCACACATTTCTATACTAATGTATGTATATAATCTTACTTTTAACAGCAACTTTTTTTGACAGATTTTACCCAGCAAAACTGTTGTCCCTAATTCAAAGATCAAGCTTGATGCTTTTAGAATTGGTGCTATTTGTATGCATGCAGAATTTTAATCGCCATAAAATAAGCAGGAAAATTGATATGCATTTTTAATGCTCAAACATCACCAGCAATTTCAAAATCAATACCCATATAAACTCGCTATCTGCTTGCGCAATATTTTTTAATGCGTTAACTCATTAAAACTCACAGGTCAAGAATACAAGAAAAATTGATAAAAGAATGCTTTTTAATTATAGTGGTGATTAAGGGTTATTAACTATACATAGTGGTATTAAAAAAAGGAAAATAAGCTTTTAACTTCCAACACTTGTTTTGATAGATGTAAATTTTGCATGAATAAAAAGGGCACCTTTTCTGAAAACTGCAATCGAGATCTTTCGAATAGTACCAAGGGTTTTGCTAAGTAAACTCTTCCGAGGCAGAAATTTGTCTTCTCACAAGAAACTTTAAAATGTTATCGAGCCATCCACGAAACCGTATTTAATTTACATTAGATGTCAATAGCTGGTCAAACTCAATTTATGACTGGAAAAATATCATACTGGTTTTGATGTTTTTGCATTTTTACGTTATCCATTAGTCAGAAGTATTGTTGCACTTAAAAATAAATTGGCATCAAGGTTTTTAAAAAAGTAGATTAAGTGTTTTTTTAACTATATGATTAACTGAAGAAGACATTTGTTCTTGGACTACCTATACCTGTATACCAAAATAAAAGACAATTCTTTTTAACTGCACAGATCTTAATCTACAGCCTAAACAAGCTCGGGCACTCTTTAGCTTTTATCTTAAATTAATAAGCAAAATAAATTTTTTAATGGGTTATTTAAAAAAAATTGCTTATGTCATCTACACGCTGAATGATTATTTTATCAAAGATTAATTAAATCTTTAGTTAATGATTTATTAAATCTTTATTTTGATTGCTTTGTTTATGCAATTGAAAACTAATAAACCTTTTTAAATTTGCTTACTTTTCTACTTTAAGCACATAAACTTAATATACCTGAATCAAATTAAATATATTTTTCTTTTAGTGTGACGTTGGCTCGAACATCGTTTGTAAGAAAGAACTGAACCCTTTGTACCCTTAGGGTGCTTACCTGGCACAAGTGTCAAGTTTAAATTACACACCACGTTAATTGTTAAAATGTTTACATCTTAATGTTTAGTGACCACTATAAATATTGGCCTTCATTTGCATTCCACAACCTCATCGAAGCACCACACAGATCAAGCTCAAGATGAATGGGAAAAAGGGCTGCAAGCGGCCTCAGGTGCTGAGATATTTTACAAAATTTAAGTTTATAAGTTAAGTCTATTAAGTAGTTGTTAGATATTATGTGCATGAGCCGATCGTCCATTTGTTAGAAAAATTCTGGGTTCGAATCCCAGGCAAGGCATGGATGTTTTTTCATTCTTTATACTATTTGTCCTTGCTGTGGGAAACAACGTTGGCCCAGCTAATATAGTGCCTCTGAAAGAGTGGCCAACAAATCTGTCCTTCAGAGGCCTGCATGACGAAAGGTTATTCTCCAGGTGGGCATTGGAAAAAAATGTTATATGCATGGATGCTAACTTTTTACACTGCTTGAGAAACTTTCTTCTTGTGATAGCAAAATTTATATTTCATGAATAATTCTTTCTTTAATAGATTTGAAGTTATTTTCAACACCACTTCATGCAAATGGTTCAAAAGTGTATATGAAACGCTACTTTCATACCTGCTAGTTCTTCCAGAAGAATTAATTTTACTATTAATCTTTTAGCCACATTTATACGTTCAAATTAGTGTTGTAATAATAAATTTGTTTCATAAGGATTTCTTTTTCTTTATTTAAAACAAATTGGGTGCCTGGGCCGAGCAGCGGCCCCTAACCCATACATCATGAAAATAGTATACAGTGTATGAAAACATTTTGTATTATGCATCATTATGGTGGGTTTCATAAGGATTAAAACTACAGTTATGTTTTATTCAAACATACTTATGAGCAATTACAAGACTTCAATGTTCTTAATATTGGGCTGAATATAAATGAAAATTCTACTTACAGTTAGATATTATAGGCATGCGCCGACCGTCCTGTGTCAGAAACGTTCTGGGTTTGAATCCCGGGCAAGGCATTGATGCTCTTTCATTCTCTGCACTATCTATATAAATGAAAAGTCTACGTACAGTTAAAATTTTATTTTGCTACCACTGGATAAAAGCGTCTTGGAAGAACGTAAAAGTTGGCAGGTAAAGTTTTGTATTGTAAGCCTTTAGTGGTTTCTTACACCATTACAAAAACACGGAATGGGGCAAAGGATTAAGTTTTTGAGTCTTAAGTAATTTAAACTATTTGGTTGATATAGTAATTTAAACTATTTGGTTTATATATTTTCAATGCAGAAGACACTTTTTCGGTAATCTAATAGTGACTGATTAGATTGGAAAAAAAAGAGATAATGAATTAAAAATCTTACCATATCCATTTCTTCTAGGATTCAAAGTGCAATCAACCTTTGAGATGTCACTTATACTTTTTGCATTGAGAACAGGAAGAGTTAGGGAACTAGAGACAACATCGTGAGGAGAAGACAATTGCTCTAATAGATACTGAACAGTTGCATAGAATTTCCAGCCCTTTTCATATTCTTGACCTCTTGATATTAAAGCCTAAATTGGTATTAAAATGTGTGTTAACAGTCTAGGTAGTTGAAGAACTTGGAAAAATATAATGACATGCCACATTTTTTTTAAGGAGAGCGTTTTAAAGAGTGTTTTTGATGAAAAACATAGTGCTTTCTATGGAGATAGTTAGATGTTTCTGAGTATTGGGCTGTCTGTTATTAGGAAATTCCATAAATTTGCAATGAATACCTAACTGGAAACAACGCTAATGAATAGTTTAAAAAAGAAAAACTCAAAATTTGAGAAAGTTGGGAATGAATTTAATACTCCAAGCCCTAAGAATGTATCCTTGCGTTTCAAGCATGTGAAAAGGTAAAAATCACATATAAGTTGCGTCATAAGTTTTGAAAAATCACATTTCTTTGATTATTAGCACGCACATCATGAAAATTTTGGTTCTCATAATGAAACCACGTGATTGTGGGGATAGTGAGTGATTGAATTTATCAGAGTATTTTCAACCTATCGCTTCTCCTTGTTATTTTAGTGGAAGACATTTAATGCTGGAATTTTGAAGCCAAAAATCTTAAAATAAAGAGATTTAGTTGACCGTATTTGGTTACACAGAAAAAATTGTTAAAGGAGGACTTTATACATTTCACATGTAAGTTGATTTATCACTTTTTGAAATTACAACATTTTTATTCATTACATAAAGAACTTTTTGAATGTTCTTTTTTTTCATTAAAATGCTTTCAACTGTATCTTGCAAGTATATATAAAAATGAATAAGAACCCAATTAAACCTAAAAATATGATTATGTGTAATTTTTCATTTTTAATATCTAATTTTTTAGTGTTAAAAGGTAGTTGGCAAGGTTATGTTAGTACTATGTAGTAAGTTAGTGCTAAATTGTTGTTTCTTTTCTTTTTCGTTTATTTACATTGTATGTTTTTGAAAGAAAAGAACGCTTCTAACATTTAACTATTCTAAATTATTCTAACACAAAATTATTCTTTAACACTAAGTTATTAGTTCTTTAATAATATCGTCAAGTCCTTTTCAACCGAAATTGTCGGAGCTTTTTTGATGTTAAAAACACGTGGGGGAAAAATCGAAAATACCTATTAGAATAATTAAAGCTCTTTAACCTTACCTAGTCCTAGTGTTTAGATTTTATTGGGCACCTGGGCCGCGAAGCGGCCCCTATCCCATTCATCTGGAATTTTTGAACAGTTTTGGTTGAGCAATGAGGTAAGCAAGCAATGGAGTTGCTTTTTTAACCTTACCATAGCAGCTATAATGTTAAAACAAAATCAGTTGAGAAGAAAAAAACTGGTTTTTTAAAAATTGAGGAAGAATATTTTTCCTCAATTTTAATTTTAGTTTTCGACTGCTTGTCACGTCTAAAATCCTTGTTTGTAAATGTTCTTTAGAAGTTTTATATCTTTAATATAATACAATGGACAAATATATTTTGTTTTTCTGACATATCTAATATTGAAAGAATTGACAAAACATTAAACACTCCTGAAACGAAAACCCTGAGTGCTAGAGGTTTAAAATAACTTATTATAGGAAACTGGTCCCTTATCCATAGTCCTATTTTGAGAATTGTTTCCGTTTTTATGAAAGTAAACAGTGGTAATTCAATTGCTTCATTAATAATATTTATACGGAATAAAATAAAAACATCCACGCCTACAATAGTGTATAGATGATATAACTATCTAGGATCAACTTTGAATCCATATGTTACAAAAATTTTTTGAAAATAAAATGATAGTTAAAGAAAAAAAATATTCCCTTCAATTAAACATAAATATAAAACCACTATTTTTATGTAAGCAAAGTGAAATAAAATAAAAAGTGTTATGACCTTTCAACTGTTACACAATTTGCAGAGATGCCAACTTGCTCTGGACAGCGGATAAATATTTTCGAGTGGTTAGATTTTTAATGTGTGATTCTTAGTTTAAAAATTTGATTTATTAGTTTTGCATTCACCACTACTTTTAAATAATTCGAAGGCTTATATGATTCGCCACTATGCTGCAGTTAAGTCTTCATTAATGATCCCAATACTTACCTATACCTCACCATCTACTGAAGAAATTAAGCCAAAACAAGATGGTTCATCCGGAATACTAATATACATACAGACCTCAAAATACCAACTCTATCACAGCATATATACAAGCTAAACGCAGATTTTTTCGATAATGCGATAGAATGAAAACAGCAAATTTTAATGAAATCTTTAAATTTGAAAATTACATCAAAGATAAAAATTACAGACTAGTAGCTGCACATTTCACCTCCAACGCCTCATATCATAACTATCAAAACAAACAATTTCATCAACCTTTCTGAAAATAACGTTTCCTCATGCTGATACAATTCTGAACAACTCGAAATCAAACAAACGCAACTATAGAGCAAGCTGCTCATTTTATTTTTTGATTCATTTTTAGTTATTCAAGCAAAGTGCTTGAAACATTCATAAAAGCAACTCCACTTCCTGCTCACTTCACTGCTCAACCAAAACAGTGTTAAAATTCCAGATAAATGGGATAGGGTGCCCAATAAAATCAAAACACTAGGACTAGGCAGTTAAGTCTTATGGGAAAAGGGCCGTAAGGCCTCAGACGCCCAGTTCCACTACAACGAACGAACGAGCAGTTAAGTTTTGTTAAACAATTTATAAAAAAACTGAACTAGCGAAATATCTGCAAATTTTAGTTGTCCTAAGAAAAAAATTATTCGCTGTTCTGGAAAGGGTTTAAAATAAAAACAATTTGTATGGAAAATTTACAATTATTTTAATTGTCCCCTTCTATTACGGCATTGCACAATCTATTTTCCTCAGATCTTTGGCTTTCAGAGTTTAATTCCGTTTATTATTGCAGTTCAGTGGCGTACGCAAGGGAGGGGTTTAAACACCCCCCTTGAGCTCAGACAAAATGGCAAAAATAAAACTTTTAGTAGAAATTACTTGAGCTATTATTTTTTAAGGCTAAATATTTTAATCTGTCATATGCCTACTTTTTTTTCTCACGGTATTTCTCAGAATACTGAAAAAACATTTACTATAATAGGGTTGTACTTTTGAAACCAAATTCACGTGATACTGTCACAAACTGGTTTCTTTCTGTTCTTCCAGTATAGTTTTCGAGACTGGCTGTCATTCGTGAGGTCTTTACGCGATGATTCTGGAATCCTAGACGTTTTGTCGTCTTTGAGACAATTCGATAATTCTGGAGATGCGGTGAAAAATTATATAAAAGGGGGAACGGAGTACAGTGGAGTTATTTAGTCAGACTAAGAGTTATCTCTGCCGCTTGTCTTTCGGAGCTTGTCGCTAAATCTGCTTTGTTTTGTCTTAACAAAAAGTTCATTCAATCCCGCCGAACCCATCGTCGCCACTGTTTCGACTAGTGAAGAAATCAGTAACAATACCATTGGAGATACTGTTCTCGTTGAAGTTATTCATTCCAGCTCGAAACTTTGAGATCGTAGCATAGCTGATATTTCTGCCAATATATATATATATATATATTATAATTATTTTGAGAAAAAACCACGACCTGAAATAAGTGGGGTGACAGCATCTAGTACCAATGTAAGTTTTTCTGTTGTACAGAAATGTGATACTTCCGTTGAAGAAAACGTTTCTAGCATAACAAAATCTGATGAATGTGAAAGTGGCCCTCAAAGTGTTACTTCCCACCCATATGACATTGGACTTTTTTTTAGAAGATATTACATTATGTTCTTAAATTTAAAAAATGAAATCAAAATTTAACTAAACAATGTTGTCTAAATAAAAAGCCAAAATTGTCTAGCTGTCTAAATTAGGGAAATAATAGTGCTTTATTACAGATTCGAATTTCTATTAGTAGTTTTAGAAAATTATAAACACCCCCCTTGAAAAAATTCTGCGTACGCCACTGTTGCAGTTTATCGCTGTAATTACAGTCTATCCCTGTTTTGAAATAAAGATTTTAGCTTTCTAAAACATTGTTTTGACATTATAAATGCAAAAATTTGTACCTGGGTTATTAATGAAGTTGTATGTAGATTTCCAAAACTTCCATCAGAAAGTTGAGACTCCTTGAAAAGTTTAATGACGTTTTCATAATTGGTTCTTAAACTGCTATATTCTACTTGATTCAGCAATTTCGTTTGGTTCTCATAACACGAAACTGCCATTACAGCAAATGCTTGATAATCTGTGGAATAAAATTTAGTTTCGATTAATTGATGTACTCATAACAATGCAATGTAGTGAAAACGTAACGCAGCTCAGAATAGCTATTGAATTTGTAATAGCAAATTTATAATCAGACCGAATGCCTCTTTCTTTTACTAAAAAAGGGGGTTCTGTTCCATTTCCGAGGGCAAAAAGGAAATCACCACCCAACTGTAATCAAAGCCAGTGTTGCATATTTAACTGTTGTTATAAGTACTACTCGCGTAATATCTCCTATTGTTAAAAATGGTGAATAGAAATAGTTTACCAGTTGCTAACAAAACAAAAATTAGATTTTGATTATAAATTTCGATTATAAAAAAACTTGTTTGTTTTACTTTCTACTTAGCAATGCAGTGTTTAAGCCTTGTAACTTCATTAGACAATGAAACGCAACTTTGCCAATCTGAAAAAATTTTCCGAGAATTTTTGAGTGTTAATAACACAATTATTTCATGTGTCTATTACAGCCCCATTCCCACACTGACTCTCTCTTTTAAAATAAAATTATAATCTGTACCAAGGAACAGCAATCGATAAACATATTTCGCACGTTTATACAAAGCGTTTTAAACTAAGAGCTATTTTTAAGATAAAAAAATTTATTTCAAATTTTTTTTTTGTGCATTTTGCTCGTTTAATGGTACAAGTGAGACAATTTTCAGCAAGAGTCAAGTTAGACAACCCAATATTTTAAAAAATATTTAAAACTACTGATATATTTTTATTATTAATTTATTGCAACAATTAAAGGATTTTTCAAACAATGGTACACTATAAAATCTTAAATGAACAGACTAAATTTTAATATAAATTACAATGGGGAAAAACTTTTTTTCGGTTGCATGAGATTTTTGAACGAATCTTAGATATTTTCGCGTTGCTGATTTCAAAGCTGATTTTAGTTCCTCTCTGTAAGTTAGAGTTTTTCTGCAATTTAACATTATATTCCCAATCAAGATTTTTTTTAAAAATTCACTCAAGAGAATAACTGTGTTCCCACTTCTCTTCTACGTAAGGCATGGTTAGGGAGATGGTGGTAATGCATTTCAGTTTATGTTGGAATAAATTAAGGTCCTTTTTTTGTCTTAAGTGTTATTTACAAAGGCACATTCAGAAAACTTGCACATTCAGAAAAAAATTAACTCATCTAAAAATATCTTTTTCATAAAAAACTGTAGCTTTAGAAGCTAAACTGAATTCAAATTTGCAAACACCGCACCCGATTTAAGTAAGATAAATTACTTCTCAAAATGCAAAAAAAAAATTTGCATGTTATTTTATAATACAAACTTATAATTGAGGAACATGAATGTCCAGTTACCTCTAACAAAAGGATAGTCAGCATCGGTGCTTAATATTTTGTTAAGATCTGAAGTTGCTTTAAGCGGCCAGGGTTCTTTAGCATTGCAGAGAGTTAAATATGCGATTGGATGCGTGAAGTTTGTTGTAGACTGCACTTGCTCTTTTAAACGCTTTATCAGGTTCTGTCCATAGAACTGACGAGGATTGTGACACGTCACCAATAAGCTGTTTATAAACATGCTTAGTTGTTCTGCTGAAAGAGAATTCCTGAAAAATTGAATTATTATTATTATTTTAATGTGACATATGTATTGTTTGTAAACAAATAAAAGTAGAAAATAGCTAAACAACTTTACTTTTAATTCAAGAAGTTTTATAAACAATGTTAGGTATCAATGTTAGAAGTTTAAAAAACAATATTAGAAGTTTAAAAACAATGTATTTTTGTCACTCAAGTATTGAATTTTTTGCAAAATCTTAGAAAATTCATTACCCGTGAAAATAAATAATATTTAAACTTTAAATTTAATTATAAAATATCACATCTGAAAATGATTTGACACTTAGAAAATGGCGGTGTTCACTAATTTTTATTCCGTTGAAAGTTTGATTTGCTTTGGAATATACATGACATGTTTTCGTTTCATGAAGGCTCTTACGGTTCAATTTATTTTGTAGCAACATATTTAATACCTTTGAATTAACTTAGAGAATTATATTTTACCAAAAATAAAAGAATCGAATCTGGATTAATGGTTCAGGTTTATATTAGTAAGACATAAAGTAAATAAATGAACTTTCACTGACGTTTCCTATTTATAACTATCTCTAGTATTGTCAGAGAAAAAAAATCGTGACTAATTTTAGAATCGTGACTAATTTAGATCCTTCAATAAAAGTTTAATATCAAAATGAAATTACCTCTACAGTTTTCCGTTACTCACCTTCGTGAAGGTTATAAGTTTCAAAAGTTCTTACATTTACTTTGCACGAAGAGAAAGCCGTGAAATATCAGGCTGCAGTGGGACGCCAAATCTCGTTCCTGTAACCACTATGATTATTTTTTTGTCATATAGATTAAACTAACCAGTGAAGGATCACTTAAGCTTAACTTGTCTTTAAAAAAAATCATGAAAAATTCAAAATTTGTAACATTAGTTAAATGACAGTGTCAACATATTTGTTATTAACTGCAAATTATCTAAAACAAATTTCGGAAACTTACATAATATTGTTTTAAGCTTTTGGTGGTTTAAATAAGAAGTAGTGAGATTACCAAGTGAAGGAGCAATTTTTATCAATGAATAGACACAAAATTTTCCTGTCGAAATTTCCAGAACACTTAATTTTGAGAATATTTGATGCTGCTTGGGAATTTATAGGCCATACGAATATCTAAAAACAAGACTTTTCTTGGAATTATAACATATAACCACGGTTAACGTGGAAAGTTTTACTTTCTTTAAGTCACGACGATTCTAATTCATGAATGTTTATCATTGTGTAATCCAATGATGTTTTTATTATTGTTATTATTTTATCATTTTTTTTTGTTTACTCTTTTTCTTCTTACTTTTTTTAAGCTTTTTTTTATCATTTTAAGTATTTTTTTTTCTCTCCGTCATATTTTCTTGCTTTAACTTTTTTTCAGCTCTTTCAGTCTCTTTATATTTTCACCATTTTTCTGCAATTAAAGCAAAATGTAATTTATTTATTTTTCTTTTGATTTGGCCTTCCTCTTTCTTCTCTATATTTGGCCAATGTAAATGTATCTTCGATATTTCTTCTGATTTACCAGTACTATTTCTAGAATTCCTCACTGGATAATAGATGGGGAAAAAGAGTTTCGAAGTCTGAGGAAAGTTCATCTTCACCTCTCATGTCTAGTTGATCTTCAGTAGGACTTACCATTTTATGACTTTTAGAACCAATTGGTTTTGCAACTAACAATGCCTCAAGAAGTTATATTAAAATGAGTTTTCAAGATATATTCATTATCAATGCTAATTGTTTCAGCTTCAGTGCCAAAGTTTCACTTAATCAAATGTTCTTTTTGCAATAAATTCTTCCATATTGAGAAAATCACAGGCTTTGAGAGACTAGACTCTTCTGTCAATGTTTCTTTAAAAATTTACAATACATCTTGACAGATTGCATTCTCAAGTATTTGAAGAAACTGTTCTTCGTTACTCTCGTAGTATGAGTTTTGTTGATAAGCTTTCTTGCTTATTAACTTTTTGTATTGCATGCATTTGTTAAAGTCAACGTTTTCAACATCTAAAGGAAAAAAGACCACATTTCTTAAAAGCATCTTAAATTTTAACTTCATCAGATGATGCCTTAAAAGCTAATTTAAAAATGTGTGTAAAATTCCTTCCATATATTGTTTTACACTTCCCTCTACATGTCTCTTTTGTTTTCAAGATTTGATGGCAGATTTCCTTGAAGATTTCTAAGCTCGAAATACGTTCCTGCATCACAAGGCTGGAGTACATTAGTAGAATTCGGTAGAAAGCTAAACCAGAGAATTTGTTTTGATGAACAAACCTTGCTCAGTTTCTTATTGATATGAGATTTATGCCCATCCAGAAGAAGCAAAATAGGAAATTTGATAGCATTTTCAATTAGACATGGGCAGTAGCATTTGTAATACAGTGAACTCTCGCTACTACGATATCCGATACAACAATAACTCCCTCTATTACGATAATGTTCCGTGGTCCCGCCAAACTTGCATATGGATTAATGTTATCTTCCTCTCAATATAACGATATTCTCTGAAGCAGTAAACCTCTGTAAAACGATTTTNATTAATTTTTTCGTTAATATATAAATATATTTATCGTTAATGAATATATAACATTAAATTTCAAAAAATCTTATTGCGTCCCAGAATTATGTGGGCCCTTGATATAACAATATATCCCTCTGCAACAATATTCTTTTTTGGTCCGCAAAATATTGTTGTAGCGAGGTTTTACTGTATATTCGTCAAAAAGTTGCTGCAGTCATCAATACACTTCATGAATCACTTTTTCCAATAAATATATAGGAGGAACAGATTCTATAATACCTCAAGGAATTCTTCAGCAAGGAGAAACTACCAATGGAGGTACTTTTTTTCCATTAGCTGAAATGTTAGCCAAAACTGTTGTTCTTTCTTTTTCTTTCCTAGGAACTATAGAATATAAACCTTAATAATTTTTAGGGCCAAAGATTTTTCCCATTTAAGAGCAGTATTCTCCTGTTTCATTTGCATTGTAGATGTGCTCACTTTGTAAAGGATGCCAGGGCTACATTCCTCCTCAAGATTCCTCTAAAGTACTTTAAACCACTCTCGAATATTAATCTCTGTAAGGGCAGTTTTGCCTTTTGAAATTATCTTCGCATTGTGTTGAGTTATTAGTGGATGTCGTCTTAAGAAAAGCTCCACCCATTTCCCCTCTGGATGATTGTGTTCATATGGAATTTTCCTACCCGTTTTCGTCATGCCATTAAAAACTGCATTAGGATAATAATTTAGCTAATTATTGGCACAAAAGACAGCAAAGAAACGTGCTATATAAATTTTGATTATTATACTTATTTAGTTTCCGATTAGTAAACATAGTTTTTTAAGTTGTCTAACGTATAATGTAATTAATCACTATATTAATAAAGATAAATTCTTATTATAATTATTTTCATAAATTAAATTAGCATTTCGAAATGAATCTATTTTAGGTGTCCTCTATATCGCAGAACTACTAATCATCTTAGAGTCATGCAAAATCATATTTCACACATACTGTTCATTCAATGGGAAAATTATTCCCAGTGAAGGAACGTGCTTGTTCCTTTACTGGTTAGAAGTCTTTTTTTCTGTATTTTTAACAGAATTTTGATGAATAATCTGACTTAAGGTACAAGAAAGGTAAAATATTTCTTTTGTTTTCATTAACTGTTCCATCATTTAATCACTTGCTTATTCATTGGTTTTTCATCGTTTAGTAATCCAATTAATAAACACCCCCTAATCTCAGTGCTTGCTTATGCCATGATGCTTAAAATAAATGAAACGTAACTTCAATGAACATATTTTGATTTTTTTTTACTGTGAGAAAAATAAAACTATTACATGCAATTAATTGCACTTTAAACGTATAACTACAAACACTGACCTTATAATTTTATCAGAGAAAAAAGGTGTTACACAAATACTAACAAATTCAAAAAATTTTCCAGAGAAGACTATATTACCAGGTAACCCAATGCATTATTAAATGCTTCTTATTGTTAGGTAGTAAGCTACTGTTACCAATCAATCTAAGTAAAAACTTTTAAAATCTTATTTTTTTTAAAAATATCTATGGAATGTCTATTCAGTGGGGTGTGTGTATTCCTTCACTGGAGAAATATTAAGCATTTTTTGATAAAAAACAACCGCAAACGCTAAGTGATTCAGGAAATGAACAGTCATTGTGTACATTAGACGTGCGATCCCTTGTGAAGGCTTATTTTGGAAGTAATTGTGACCTTTGGGCAGTGTTGATAACATTGCCACATTCATGCCGTTGGTCATGAAATTGTAGAGCCAAAACCAGCGTTAAGAACAGGCGGTAGTAGGAATGTATACTTTTATTTATATAGAAATTATTTTATAATTTCTTTTTAATCATTGTTTCATTGTTATCAATTTGAAAATAGATTCATTATTTACAGTTTGGATTATATGTTTTTTAAAATAAATTATTTGACTATTACTTGAGCAGAGAAATGGAAGTCGTAAGCTCTGTTTGTTTCGCCATTAATTCGTCTTCACAGATTGTCCCGTCAAATTTGGCTCCTCCTGATAAGAAGAGAGAAAATAGAACTCGTGGAGTATTTTCATGCCATCCCCAAAAAGAAGAACCTTTGCTTTTTATCCATGCTATTTCCTTAGTACGCGCCTCCGTGACACCATCAACGTTTAATATACCTGCATCTGTAAGACAACACAAATTAAATACTACGCATAGATATACAAACATTGTTATAGCAAGTAAATTAATAGAAATATAGTCAAACATTATAATAAAAACTATTGTTTATAATTTAATGTATATAAAACGATTGAGATAGTGACAGTATTTAACTTTTTTACGTAACTCTGAAATTCACACACTTCGTACATGCTCTAGAACACATTGAAAGCTTTAACACCCAGTAAATTTAAGAAGGCTGTTGTGCCTTCTTAAAATTTGAACTATAGTTTATGCATAAGCGTATCCCTAGGCTAAGACTGTATATAAAGCTGAGCATTTTTGTTCCATCCACCATCAAGTTACGATGCAATAATGTGAAAATAATGAGGTTAGCGGACGACTAGGTAACTCTATAAGCATATCCAACTTATACAGAATTTCCATCGTTTCAGAAATCTTTTCTAGTGGCAGTAAAGATAATATTTTAATAAATTTGATTTAAAAAAAGTATTTCCACCACTATTAAATGTTAAAATGACCTATCGAAGGTCAGATTAAATGCCTTTGTGTTTATAGCTTAGTAAAAATCAACTCCTTGGGTTTTTTAAAATTTTTCCTCAGGTTCTCTACTACAATAAAAAATAATTTTGACAAAACCTTTAATGTTGGAGAGTACAAATATCAGGGCTATCATCATGCTCCTCTTTGAAAATATTTCCTAGTGGTAACGAAATTTAAGTTAGTGTTTAGCTTAGTACTTTCCATATCTAGAAATTTTTTCGCCATTACATATCAAAGAATCAAATGAAATGTATATTTATTACAGTTATCTAGTGGTGACACTTTTAAAGAGTGGGCGTAAATATCATCATTCAACAAATTTTACGATTTAACTCGCTACCAATTTATTGAAACTTTTGCAGAAAGCTGAGTAGTTGGCATCAACTGGTGCATAAATCAACTCTTTCTTTCAAATTCTTCAAAAAACACTGGTCGAATTGAGATTGGTGCTTTGAGCCTAGAATTGCCTTTGCCCATTCATCATGCTCGCAACAGTCAGTGAGATAGGTAAATAATATTAAAAAAATCTTAAGAAACTATTGTATACAACGTACAGGAATGTCACAGGCGACTAAAAATGCAAAAAAGTTGTAGAAATTCAATTCACTTTTATTTATTTATTATCTCTTTAATTATTCAATCGTAACTACTACTATAACTTATATTTAACATTATTCACGTCTGGAGCCTGTACGACCACATATTCATTCTAACCAATTCTAAATCAATATTCCCTCCTCAATTTAAAGAACAAGAGATCTATCCACTTGCAATGCATAAGACCAAATTTAGCCTACTCTTTACCTGTTTTCAGCACGCTTCCTAACTCCCTTAACACGTTCACGTTATACAAATTTTAAATTTAAAGTGAAAGTAATTAAATTTTAAATTAATTGAGTATTAACATCAATTTTCAACTTTTCGAAGGACTGTGCAAAACCGGAACTTACACAAAAAATTATTATTTTTAGAACAAATATAGTGCGCAAAAGTTAAGAACTACTTACCGCATCCAACTTCATCAGCCCCATTTTCACAATCTTTCACTCCATCACATACTGCATTCATATGGATGCAAGAATGGTTAGAACATTGAAAAGTGCAGTTACGTAAGCATTCAATACCTCCTGTAAAATGAACAAAATAGAATGTTCTTTTACCAAATTTATGTAAAGGAACAGAATGTTGAATTATACAGATATAAATTTCACTTGGTAGATTACGGATTTCGATAACCTCATTAGTGACAAATGAATTCAACTATAATTCGTCAAATTTTGAAACTCTCATCTGAATATTAATGGGAAATTTTCAATTTCAAACTTTTAATGAATTGTTTTTTGATACAAATATCTAAAGACATATATATTAAAAACAGATACAATGACATTCAATTATAATGCAAACATAAAAACTATTAAACAATCATTAAACGTACTCAAGATCATGTGTAAAAAGTATCTGAGTCGAAAGGAATGAAACATTTACCATAGAATTTGATTTAAGCGACCCAGGCCCATATGGCCCATACGCACGAGTTTGATGTCTCGCTGTCACGAAAGCAACCACGACCAGGACGAGGGACCAAGCAATTTGTGGACACAAGGGAAGCCCCGAGTCAAGCAAGATTAAATGCACCATAATTGCGTCGACAAGCAGAGGAGATCAGAAGACCCGACCGAACCCCGGAGGCGGAAGCACCAAATCGGCTGCTGACCATAGGACAAGAAGGGCCGACAGCGGTGAGGCAAGCCACTACCATGCGTGAGCCGCTCTCTGACCAGAAGGCGAAAACTAGTGAAAATCACAATAACTCACCAAAATCACAATAACTTTATTAAAAAAAGAACTAAAAGAGCACACACATAAATCATTATTATTAAGCTCCGGTTGATTAACTAAGGGGAAATTGCACTTTTAAGGGCATCTGTGTTAGGATTGAGATCTAGTGATATGGGTGGCTTATTTATCTTGCCTTTCTATAAAGTCTCCCACCAAAATAGCACTATTATGGCCAAGCGTTGTTATCTTAAAATCAGGTCTAACTACACCCTTGAAAAGTCAAATATCAAGGCCTTAAAACATCATATATGTACCTCATATTTGTTTAAGAGCGTTTTTCAAAGACACGGACAGATGACCGATGTGACGACTTTATAAAACTCCAGATTAAAAATTATTTCTATAAATTTTAAAATTAATTTTCGTTGTATATCTATTTCTATCATCAACTGGGGCTTTCCGGGTATTCCCATCACATTTGCTAGTTCTCCTAAATCCATTGGGAAACCCCAAGTTTCTCCTTGATGTAACTTGTTTGTTATTTCTTCTACAACTCCGTGTTTCTCTCTTTCACTTCGAATTTCAACACTGAAGAATGTTTTTCATTATGACACTGAAACTAGCTAATGTTTTAATTTGTTTTATTTATATGTATTTATTTTCTATATTCTCCAGTTGTGCGTGACATATCCATCACGCGCAGCATGACGTATATGTCAAAGAACAAAATTCTCTTAATTTAATACTTTCTAATTATAAGAATTCTTATCTGAAACAGGTCTGCACTTTTAGAACAAGTATGCCAAATACTGCACTTTTTTCAAAATAGTTTATAAAGTGAAAAACAATAAAAAATTAAAGCAGAATTCAGATTAATTTTCCCAGCTTATTGGAAGATTTCACCGCGTAAGTTAAGCGATAAAAGCTACTTTTACATAAACTTTCGAATTATGTTTATTTTCTGAAGAAAAGTAAGATTTGAATTTTTTGGTCGAACAAAGACAAAAAAGCATTTAGATAGATACCATAAAACGTTTTCTTATTAGAACTGGAATTCGGATAGAGGCCAAAACGGTTTTGAATTTGAAGAAGTTGTCCGATAAAAAGAATGATTATTATTAATAATAATGAGTATAATTTATTATATTTAAAAAAAATTTTTTTTAAAGATTATACAACAGCAAAGGGCATGTATAATATTAAAGTAAGATATTAGCATACATGAAAGTTTTGGCTACCACTAGTTTGCGTTCATGAAAATTTTCGTTCCTGATACGTTTTTAAAACATATTAGAAAGAAAGTGTGGAAAAGCAAAGCATAAAACTAGTAGAAAGTTTATGAGCTACTTAAGTTAGATCTAAGTTAATAGATAACTAGCAAAATTTAGAAAAATGGAAAGATATTTTTATGCAATAATAATTTAAAAAATCTAAATAAGGTTGCCTAAAGGTTTCAATGTTTCCAAATATCAATAATTTAATAAGATAATGACTAAGCAGTTTTTCTTCTTAATAGAAGAAAAACAACTTAAAAACATTTACTTTCATGCTTCGCATAAATTAGTCGCGATGTTTAAGCGAACATCAATTAGTCAAACTACATTTTTTTTTAAAGATGAAAATTATTCAGTAGTTTTAAATATTTGATCGTAAATGCCGATCTGGTGTGAGAAAATTTAAAGAATCTTGAATATTTATGTCATTTTAACGCAACTGTGACTATTATTTCCGTAAAACGTTCACACAGTTTCAAATTATTATCTTTATTTTATGTTTTTTTTAAATATAAATAAGGCACAAAAAACTACAACTTACTAATAGTGAATATCAGTTTGTAGTTCGTATTTCTATATACTGCGAAAAAATAAACACGAACGTCATTGACAGCAATGATAGAATTTTGATTTTTTTCTCTCGGACAGAAAGTATAATTATCGGCAGAATCTTTAATAGTGATTTCTAGCTTGTTGTATTTGCAATCCTAAAAAGGAAAGATAGTTGTAAAATATTTAGCATGAACATGAATTAAGAAAACACATATCCTTAAAAGTAATTATTTAAAAATCATTTTTAAGAGGAATATTTACAATCTATCTAACCAAAACACACCCTTCAACTACTAAGGATTATCCGTAGTTTCAGAAAACATGCTCTCCTGTATTCAGAAAAGGTTATGTATTGCTCTATTATGTGTGTGAGTGTGACTCCAGAACCGTTTGTGATAGTCTTAAAATTTGAGGTCCCGCAGTGGACTGATTGCAAAGACGCGGTTACCAGTAGAACACCGAAGTCAATCATTAATAGCTGAGGTCTTTAAGTGGGTGGGGGACCACTTTGATCAGCCTGCGTAGGGACCGTGGGTACTGCGTATCGGTCCCGGCACGTGAAGTTTACGGTTAAACTGTTCTACCGTAAAGTGCTAGACACCACGCGCAACTTGTCTGGCTAACAAAGCAGTTAAGCCATCCCCTCGGCAAAAGATCACAATTGTGATGTCATGCCTTTGGGTTGTTTTCCAGTCGTCGACAATAGACAATTGAGCAGATATAAAGCGACGATAATAAAACAAAATACCTACCTACCTTCAAATTTGAACAGTGGGTGAAAGATGAAATTTCAGCTCTCATTACTGAAAAATCGTTCGAAAATTTTAATTTTATTGTCCAAGAGAAGCATTTTCAGCATAAAATTTCTCACTCATTGATTTAGAACTGCCCATTGTTTTTATTTCAACGCATATGATATTCTTTTTTCATATGTGCACATACATGCAGGCTTGTCTACTCAAATACATAGACACGGCTTTTAGAAGCCTTTGTCAAGTAAAATAAAGAAAGTTTAATTCTGAGAAGGACAGTACAAAGAGACTTATGAAGTTGCCTCGGGATTCGAACTCTCTACCTCCCTGACATAGATGATACACGGCGAGAAATACCACTCGGCTAAAGAGGCCTCGCCCCACAGATTTCTTTGTTTTCTTTAATACACTACCCTAACAAATTAAAGGACATTGCAAGTCTTTTTTTAATAACCGTCATCGAAAAGTCGACCCAATTTTGGGTTTAAGACTACTAATAATCAAGTACGTAGCCTTGTATTTTTGAACCCAATTCAGAAGACAAGGAAACTCCTGGATCAAGTATTGGGAGAAATTGGCCTTCGTTTAGGACTTTTTTGATGGAACTAACCCGCATTTTCGTTACATGGAGAGGAAGACTACGAGAACCCCCCACGGTTAGCCTTACGGCAAAGGAATTCTAACCCATGATCCGCCTACCGCATGAAGGGCATTTCACGTCAGCATTGCGGTCGGTGAAAGCCGGATGCGGAAATCGTATCGACTAGCCATCGCTGGGATTCGAACCCGGTTCACCTCATTGGAACGCGAACGCTCTTTCTTCTGAAACATCGCTGCTCATATTGTAAGTCTTGAATAAAATAACGATATAAGCTTTTTTTGCATAAAATGGAAGAAGAGAGTCACAAATGCAGTATGCAAATTTTGAGTTTGGCGTCGAAGACGATACTTCTACGGCACCGAATTTGATTTGGCTTTCAACTTAATGTAAGACGAAATGGGAAAAAAAAAGAATTGACGTTTAGTTATCGGCTTGTTTCGATGAGTGCAATATTTCAACGAAATCATATAATCGAATCAAAATCGTGGAGAAATGTATGCTGGTTAGAGAAGTGCCAAGCACGAGCTGAAGTAGCAGAAACCATTTGAGTTTTACAAAGTGTGATTTTCAGGATCTGGAACTGATTCTTAGAGCCTGAAAATGCAGACCGAAAATCAGGACGATGGCTTACATGTGCAAAAACGCCCGTTATTTAACGCTAACAGCTCGAAGACACCAAAATATGAATGCCACTCTTCTTCAACAACCTTCGCTCGGCTACTGGCACCACAGTTTCCACACATCAACAATCCGAAACCGCCTTCACACTGTAATTCTGTATGCTCATCGACCAATGGTGTGTGTAAGTTAACAAAGTATCGTCGCGGTCACAGGGAGTGGGAAATAGAGCACGTGAACTGGAGAAATGAAAGGAGCAATATTCTTTTCTCTGACAAGTCTAGTTTTTTTATTCATTCTGATAATAGGCATATTTTCATCTGTAGGGAACGTGGCACTAGAAAAAATCCTGTTTTTGTACACAAAAGTGTAAGGTATGGCGCTTTGGGAGTGGTGGTCTATGCTGCCGCCATCTCCATTGTTGAACGCACCGATCTCCATATCATTTGAAACGGATCTCTGATCGGTTGCCATTATAGGGATGAAATCCTGAGACCTGTTGTAGTCCCTTACGCTGGAGCAATTGGAGATGACTTTCTGTTAATGGACAGCAATTGTAGGCCACATCGTGCTAACTTGGTGAATGATTTTTCTTTGGAGGAGGGAATCATACGAATGGATTGGCTGGCTTGTTCTCCGGACATGAGTCAGATCAAGCATGTTTGGGACATTCTAGACAGACAAATTTCTGGACTCCTACCACCACCACAAACTCTCCAAAAACTGGAAAGTGCTCTCTAAGTAAAGTGAGACAGAATACCCCAGCCCCTCATTAATAGCCTCATTGACTCAATGCCTCGAAGTTGTCCAACTTTGTTGGCAGTCAAGGGAAACCTTACTAAAAATGATTTTCTTTTAAGGAAAAACCTCTTTTTTATTTGGTTTTTCACATATGCACAAATTGTCTTTTTTTTTTCCTTTTTTACCCAAGAGTTTAATAAAACGCATTTATTTTTCTGCCAAAAACCCACAACTTCAATATTCTTTAATTGTTTTGAATAATGTATACTAAGGTGTTATTCGCTACATATTAGCTCTCTTTCATAAAAAAATGGAGTTCATAGCACGTTATATCTAATAATTTTTCATTCATTATGCCAAAATATTTCTCGTCGTATCAAATTATAATTATAAGGAACATATCACCTTACTAGTTTACTTAAGCATTTTAAATGCTGTATTTAAACTATTTATGTTTTTTACTCTACATATTAATTACAACAATCTACTGACCCAGTTATAAGTGTACGTCAATTATAAATTTAAATATAAATTTTTTTTTCAAAGATAGAGGCTTTACTCTTAAATTTATTTGATTGCGTAATATTTTACCCAAGCGTCAAATTTAAGCTCTACAATATTCAATCTTATAAAGTGATTTGGTGGCACATGTATATCTATGCATTCTTCATTATTTTCGGTATCAGCCCTAGACAGTTCTCCAGATAGTCTTTTCTCTTCTATACAAGAATCAAGAGAAGCTAGAAAATAAAAGAAGAAACTTTAAGTAGTGTTATTATTTTTAGTATTAATCTTATAATCATTATTTAGTATTCATCTTCTATACAGAGCATGCACATTTGTTGCAAAATCTTAGCATAAATTAATAATTTTAATTTGATTTATTCTACGTGGTAAATCCTTAAAGTAAATGTTGACGGCTTTGTTGTTACACACTACTTTTTTTAAAAATCTCTAAATGTGGGTTACACGTATTTTACTTTTATAAAATCACATCTTTTTCTTCTTAAAAAAATATTATGAAGAAACTTGTGATTAATTTAAAAGTATTTTAAGTAATCAACTCGATTTTCAAAGAAATGCTATATATTGAATAAAAATATGTTATATATACTTTAATTCATTTAACAATATCTTGCAAATATCTACATTCATTTAATATACACTGCTTTGTTTTCAATACATTTTTATTTTCAAACTATTCACTGAATGTAGGTTATATAAACTTAATTGACTTTTCTAAAATTTATCCAACTCTGACTGTGCAAAAACAATTATTAATGAAGAAATGTTTAAAAGCCTCCAGAGAAGTTAATTTGAGTTTCAGTATATTTTGAATCAAAATATTGTTATTCATTTAATAACTAGATCTCGTAAATATTAACTTCTTTTTTCATTTATTGATTCATCATCTGTCATAGCCAATGATTCAAAAATAGTTTTTAAAAATTATCTGTGATAGAAATTTTAAGTTAAAATGAAAAACACGAATGTCTAAGGCACCGGTTTCTAATCCAGCGTGGTACTTGGCCGTGGACGCATGGTCGAGTGTCTGAGCCGAGATAAATATACTGTCCTACTAGTGCTATTAATTCCAGTAATGCTGTAATACAAGTCCTTGTGAGATACAGTTTCAATTCAGTTATTAACGTTATATAGAAAGACAAATAGTGTTAAAAATCCCATTAATGTTTTTTTATGGTGAGTATTGTAGCTGCGACGACAACAATATACAATGAATACTATAAAGTTATTTTCTTTACAAAGAAATATTTCTTTCCATTCTTGTGCAATGTGTTTTTGCCCATTACTGACATATGTGTACATTATTTGTATATATTGTAAATTTATTCGTATTCGTCATACCCATATAATTGATGTGTATTTGTCATTATATTTTTTACTGGAACATTAAATAGTTAGACGCTAAAGTTTTTCGTTTTTTTTTCTTAAATTGGTTATCCGCACAACTGAAAAAGTTGGGAACTACTGGTTTAAAGCAGCAGTTCCCAATTGTTTTCGGCAATGGAACCCTATGCGATCTATCTTCTTTTGACGGAACCTTGACGCTGGCTTAATAAATTAAGTTCATTAGCAGCTGTCGATACATATTAAAGATGGAAAGATTACTGATTAGTTTAAAAATATTTCATCTCAACTTTTTTAATTAGTTAAGAAATAAAAATTTTAAAATTAGGTTTCATGTGAGGCAGTTGAATTCACGGGTGTTGGTGTGGTTTCTAGTTTAGTTCTGAGTCAGTTTATGGTGCATTCGTAAGCTGGAAATAAATCGAATAAGCTAAATTATGGTTCTAGAAAAAAAAGTAGTTTTCAGAGAAACTTTTTTCTTATTTCTGTTTCTCTGAAAACTATTCCTAAATTTGGTTAGTTTACTTTAAGTTACTTTAGTTTAAGTTCGATGAGAAAAACTAATGAATACTTTCATAGATGCGTATCATTTTCGAAATTAATTAAATAAATTGTAGTCAAAAATTAATTAAATAAATAAATGTATCTATATCGGAGATATAGATAAAAGATAAATTTGCATTATTTTTGGTTATTTTTGCCGACTTTTTAGAAAGCTCCACACGGATCAATTATAACAAAGTTTTGTAAGGTTTAGAATTATTTAGAAGTAATGGGGAATAAAAACTCTATCAATTGAATTTAATAAACCAAGAATCATACGCTTAAAGAATACCACTCGAATATATGTATTCGTTATTTGGAGAAAGTTGCCATCTCTGATATCCTACATATCTTATAAAACAAAGAATTTGCGCGTGTGTGTGTAAGTCTATGAGTGTGTGTCAGTATACCAGCTGGAGGGAATACCGTAGGCTAAAATATTACGACATTTATCATCAAGAAAAATGAGTACAATTATAAACAAACTACGAAGAGAGGTCATCCAGAGAAACTAAAAAATAGAATTTTCTCATTGGTTTAGTTTAGAGCAGGAGTGGGCTAACTACGAACCGCGGGCCATCTGTGGCCAGCCGGAAGTTTTTATCCGGCCCGTGGATAGAATTTTAACTTGCCGATCCGTGACGAATATAAGAAATATACATCCATTTTCTTGTCTACTTTGTTTTAAAGCTATTTTTGTTTTTCATTTTTTAACAAAGTACTGATGACCTTTGTACTTTCTCTATTTTTGCTCTACAAAACATAAATTGATGGAAATAGTTAGCACAGACAGCTTCAATTGGTAAAATTTTGAAAGCAGAAGTTCTTTATAAAATAGCCGTAGAGTTGCTCCAACGAGTGTTTGTCTTTCTCGAGGAACAGACATATGGAATCTAAAACAGGTGAATCGTACTTCACATGTGGCAGACTGCGCTTTTTTTATCTCCAACGAGCGGATTTTTCGGCTGGCGCAAGTTCTAAGATTACTGCGTATGGAAAGATTGCACACATATAACGTCATTGCAAATAATGGTGAAATTATTAAATGTATTAAATGGCTACTGCTATTTTGAGTTATTTGTAAAATTTTTCAACCCCAAAATGGCAACTAAAAAATGCGAAGTTGATTCAGAGTGCCATCCGTTCAATGATGAATGGACTTTATTTTATTTTAGAAGTTAGAATTTTTATTTTAGAAGTTTTTACTTGGCCCACCAAACTTTTTTTACTCAATTTTTGGCCCTCGGCCAAAAAAAGTTTGCCCATCCCTTGTTTAGAGGATATCCATTGACTTAAATAGTCTTTCAACAATTCAGTTTTGTCAAATATTTTTAACTTTACATCGATGATGTTTGCTAGCTTATGGCTCTTTTCAAAAATGTTGTTTATTAAGCTTTCTGTAATACGCTGCGTGCTCAAAACAATTAAAGGATATTGTAAGTCTTATCAGCAAAAAAAAATTTCTTTTCAAACTTCACAGTAGGCAAACTTGGAGTTAGACGCCAAAGACGACACTCTATCTACAGCGAATTTGATTTGGCGGAAAAAAATGATCCACATCAATAAGCGCGTTATTTTGATGAGTGAGATGTCGCAGCGAAGTCCTTTTACCGAATTAGAAGCTTGGAGAGTTGCTGGCCGGTTAGAGGAGGGGCAACGTCTTTTGGACAGGGTACAATACCGGAAATACGTAATTGCATTATTGAAAGCTATTGTTCTAATAGCTTTTGAATAGCTTCATCGATTGGCATGGCGTTTTCTATTACATCGTTAATATTTTTTAGATCATTTTTACCTCTCTCTACGTTGAGCTGCTTGCATACTACGTTGCACTGTCATGTAAACAGCAACATTACGAAATGTTTAGAAAATTTAAGACGATGAAATATCGAGAAAAATTGATTGTTGGGCTTTAACAGCGGCAAGATGCATTAAACGTAAATTATAGTCATATATAATATTATATTGTTATATATAATATTATATTTTTACGTATGATATATTATTTATATATAATATTATATTTTTACGTATGATATCTTATTTATATATAATATTATATTAGTCCTTAAATAATAAAATTACATGTTTACGGCCTAAATCAGTTAAGCCTGAAATCCTGGGTATAAATATTAAACTAAACTAAACTCAGCGGCGCAACAGCCCATAGAGGCCCAAGGCCTACTATGCCCATCTCAGTTTTCTTGACCTTGGGCTCTGGGGTGCAGAAGCAGATGTTCCGGTCAGGTGATCAGCCGAACGCGGAACCCCCAGTGTTTAGTTCCCAAGCATGCTCGGTACTCATTTATCGACCCACTGAAAGGATGAGTCAACCCTGCCCGGCCCGAGGATCAAACCAGGGACCTGTGGCACGTCAGTGCGAATCGCTACCGCTCAGCCACCAGGCGTCAAATATTAAAAGAAAGAAATTTTTTACAGCAAAAAACATTTAGTTTCAGTTTGATCTAGGCTTAAAAAGTTTAATAAAACTGATTAGCAATCAAAGGCCCATTTTAATTACAAATTAACGCTTCATATGGATGAAAAGCAAATGAACATGTAAGAGATCAAAAAGTTAATCCCGCTGTCTCTTGAACAAAATGACGTTTACAATTACATATAGTCTTAATTTTTGACTGTACGATTTAAAATCTAGAAGTAATTTAAATTCTACGTAATTAAAATTTACAGCTGATCACCGGGGGCAGCTATAGTAAAGGAATAAAATTACGTCAGCTTGATAATTGTATGGCGGTTCGTTCGAACGCTGGCAAAATCTGGAACTTAAAATAGGAGAATAAAATTTAATAAATGAGTAATATAAGTTTGTAAGTCTTCAAGATAGATACTTTTAGATTAAATATCTTAAACTCGAAGAAAAACTATATGTGGAATATATGTGTCAAATAAAATGAAATCAAAAATAATTCCGTTACATTATATATACTCATATTGATGCAATCCCTTTATGTTATTTTTTTGGTATATAAATACCCAGGAATGAACAGTCTTGCTTCAACAGCCAATTATATTTTGAATTTTTAACTGGAAAAATGTTTCGTCAAAAGCAGAGAACTTCTATAGAGTTATTTTAAATTAATCGATTTACAATTTGAGAAATATTAAAATAAACAGTAGTGAATGATTAGATGACAAAAAAAATATTTTAAAGTGCTAACAAAATTAAAATTATTCTGCTTATCTGTTTCACTTCATTACCAATTTAAATATTGTGAGGTATTAAAGCTTTAATGTTCAGAATTCAACGAAATATATTAAACGTTTCTGTTATCAAATTATTATTATTTGTTTTTACATTTGTGTGACT